CCGTGGATGAAATTTAAAAGAAAATCAAAAGCTATATTACATTCATGCGGCGGCATAGATACCAAAATTTACCATGGACTGAAACATGCGTAATACGGACATACAAGTAGAAAAATGTCCACCTGAATGACGAGCAAATGTTATTTAGGATTAAACGGATACTTTAGATTGTTACTGTCATGGTATCAAAAAATAATAGAGGATTTCCAAACAAGGAAACAACAACGGGAAGTCGGTGGTGTTTTGGAGGCCCTTCTCGGCCAAATTTTAAGAGGAACTATTTATACTTGACGGAAAGCAAGATTCCGTAACGTATATTCGTACGTTGAAACAGTTTTTTCTCCCACTACTGACCAGCATATTTCAAAAGGACGCCAATTCCAACATGTAATACTTCTGTCCACTGCTCATACACTACGAAATGTTGGCCGTTTTTCTGTGGAATCAATGTCATGCTGTGGCCAGGTTGCATCCAAGGCGAAGTGTGAATGTAAAACCACTTTTAGGCGAAAATGGGCGAATATTGACCAAGGGTAAATCACAAGCCTTGTAAAAATTATGCCAAAAAGATCTGCTGACGTCCTCAAGTAAAATAGTGACTGGACGCTATTTTGAGTAGTAACTATGATGGCCAACTTGTGGGGGTCCCACACTTTTGTCCCCCCGGTTTTCGTATTTTCTGATTTTATTACCTAATAATAAACTATTCTGTTGTAAAATTTAATATTTCCGAATCGTAATGGATATTCAGTCGTTCATACCAGATACGGTTTTGCTCGAGAATACAGAAGCGAAAACATGCGGAAGAATATGGAGGGTTCCATACGTTTTTCGTGCACAGTATTAAGATCCGAATTGATCGCACTGGCCACTTTACTGATAACCCTACGAATATGAGCTAATCTGTGAACAAACTCTCTATGTTGGTCCATTTCACGACCGCGGGTATGGATCATCTGAGTCAAAGCGCATCTGCCTATGCCTGTGTTTGCCAAATTTATTGAGGATTTTCCTCAGTGCCGTACCATCCGTTAGCAAAATAGGCATAGGCAGTATGAAGGTGAACGTCACTGATCCTTCAATCTTTTCTGATATAGATAGCTCCAAGGTATGTAGTCTTTTTTTCGAAATTTGAGCAATATTTGTATCCAGTAAAATATTTCTCCCCGTAATTCGTTCACATTTTGAAATTTATCATGAAAACAAGTAGTCGTCTAGTTGTAGACTTTTTTAAATTAAGGATTGAAAAGTCATACTATCATTGTTGTCAAACGGCTGGTGACCTTCATGTTATATTCATTCACGTTTTTCTTCTGGCTAGGCCTGTAAGTTTCATTTTCGAAATTTTTTTATCCAAACCTAACTTTACCTGCCCCGGTGTCATTTAGTCGAAGAAAAATCCTGGTTGGTTAGTGGTTTAGAAATTCATTCATGTTATTGTTTTGTACTGGGGAAGAATGTCATTTTATTTTGTTGATTTTTCAACTGTGTAATCAATTCATTACCAGCAACTCCCGAGATTAATTGGAAAAATGACCATATGCACTGATTTATGGAGTAAGGTAGTAAGTTATCCATTCGTTTATTTCAAAACGAAGATATCCAAATTATTGTTCAGGAGAAACTTGAATAAGAAGCTCAGTGTTGAATAATATAAAGCGTTACGATAAATGCTCCAGGTCGGCCTCGTGGTTGTAGGTAATGCCATGGACGTTCGGTCAGAAAATTTCGGTTGCGTGAACTAGCTCGTTTTATGAATACAGTTAGGTCGCGGAAGGTCGTGATGCGAGCGCTGGTCGAGCAGCTTCTCTGCATCTGTGCATTTGTTTATCAGATTTTGTTCTGGACAAGTGGCACTTTATGAAGCGAAGGTTGAAAAATCGTTGTTATGTACCGTCAGTGTACTATTTTGATTAAACTAATAATTAACTTCGTACAGAATCTTAAAGAAGACCTGGATCTGCTTGCTTCGCTCGACGTCGAGCCAGTGATCGAGTGTAATAAGCAACCATCCACATTGGGTGCTTTTGTACTTGGGGAGGTAAGTGTTTTTTTGCTTTTCAATAAATTTTTTTAACCGTCAACAGAATGTTCCGCAAATTCCTGATCGCTGAGTGTTCTTGTTTGTCCCGCTAGCTGTAGCGGGATGACTTCTCTGATTTTGAAACGTCTCACTGTATTACTCTCAACGAATAGTTTACATACGATTTTATGATGGTTATAGCCGAATATTTACCCATAACTTAGTGGTCCAACTATCATTCATAGCCGGTTCTTCTGGCTGGTTAGGCTAGTTAAAAACGCCACTGGTTGATTCGGTTTCGGTCGGTTCAGACAGGTATTGGTAACTGATGGGTTCACCGCTACTCTTTGATGACTCCAATCTAGCCTTCGATTCGGGACAGGCGATGACGTGCTATCTGCTAACCGAACCAGGCTCTCTACAGACGGAGTGTCTGGCACTGCCTTATTAATGAGCTTGGGAATTAGGTCACAAATGTTACGTGACCAACCAGTGTGACATAATTATTACGTTGGTAGCGAATTACGTACTCGTCGACAGTTTTAGAAGTTCTGCCTTCAAATTTGATTTTGATTTATAAGATGGTCTTGTCATTTAGTAGTTTTAATTTTGTAAACATGATCCATAGACCTTTAGTCCCTATTTCAAAACTAAGAAACTTCATCTTTTAACAGTATTTTCGTTGCTCCTATTTTTAAGAAGCCAGGATCTGAGGTTCTTTATTGACCGATACGTTCATTTGGAGAATTGGGATTCTTGGCTATAGATCGGTAGAATCTGAGTTCACTGACTAGTGTTCTACTTCTTGAGAAGACAGTGTATGCGGTCCAATTCAATGTCAGTTGGGGGGATTCGTTCATGAGTACCAGATTGTCAAAAACTCCAACGAATACTTTGTGCCTTAATAATCCAGAATATGAATCTCACTCACATTGAAAATATTTACTTTTCATCGTCATGGCCAGATATTACGGTCATCCGTTTGTCTCCTTGTACCCGTTTTGTGTCGTTGCAATCGCACGGCACTACTTCTTTTAGTTTGAATAAAACAACATTTGTCAAAACTTTCTCATTTGACCTTGTATGTGATGTTTTACGACAGATAAAGTCCCCTTTGGATCCTTTATTAAGTGCATGGACACAGCATCTTTACCCTAGTTTATGTATTCTGCGGACAGATTTAAACTTTACAACAAAACAGTAACTTACTATGAAAGTCATTATGTAAATAACACATCGTGGTTGATTGACATTGTAATTCACCGACGTTTGAGTTCCCCTGGGTAACCTTTGTCAAGTCAAGATAACAATCAAAACAAGACATTTTGTTGCGTAAGAGGATTATCAATGCTATGATTTCTGAGGCATGGTTTATTGGTATCTGTTGTTTGATATGATAATGATGGTGATGATGATGATGTCTATTTCCGATTTATTTCTAATAGTACGTCATGACTCCAGATGTACGCCCCAGTGACCGCCGTCCAATATCCGAATTTGTGATGAAACCACTGGGATCGATATGGAACATGTTCTTAGATGAGGTATATCAGTGACCCTCTTCGATCTATTACTTAATTTCGGCAGTGAAATCAACATCAGCTGAAACAACAGAAGTTCATTTCAGAAACTTAAAGTTATCATGCATTTTTCATTTACATTTGAATTTCATAGAAACCAAAGCCGGATATAAGATGGAAAGTAATACAGGCACTGTGTTGCATTCGCGGTGAAATAATTATCATATTTCCCTCTAGTAGTTCTGACATTAAAACACTAAATACGCTATAATGCACATATGCAAAGGTATGAATAATCGTGAATTTATGGTTCTGTTTTTTTATTCACCTGGCTGATGCATATTTGAAAGTTCCCCTACACACGGAGTCTAAACCACTAACAACCATCAACACTCAGTGGGGCACATTCTAGTGCAACCTCTTGCTGTTCAGGTTACACGTGTCATCCGAGGTATTCCATGCTTAAAATGAGAAAGCAATTATTGGTATCGATGGGGCGATGGCATAAGAGGACGATGTGCTTATTTTTGGATCCACAAAGGAAGAACATGATCATCGATTGCAGCTGCTGCTGGAGAGGTTTGTGGAGTGGAACGGATCGATCAATGTCATAAAGAGCAAATTCGGTGTCACTGAATTGAATTTCCTCGGTTTCGCTGGTAATGCAAATGGATCCAGGATCCAGATCGTTTCAAACAACCAGTCAGAATGGAGTCACCCAAGAATCAGGCACACTTGCGGTCAATCCTGGGATGCGTGCAATACTATTTCCGATTCATTCCAAACTTTGCGGCACTAGCACAATCGTTTTTTCTGGCTCAGTCGTCCGATGTGAAGCAATGGGTCAAGAGGGAAGAGGAGACTCTACGTGGTCCCATACAAAATATTGTCAGTCGATCAATACTAGCCCACTCATGCCATCTTAACTAGCCACGCTTATTGCCAAAGCGTCCCAAGTGGGAATTGGAGCAGTTCTGGGACAGAATGGATGCCCAATAATCTGCGTCTCGAGTCTTCTCAGTGCTGCAGATAGGGTTCTTCCTAGACACAGAAGGAAGCTTCGCCCTTTTTCTCGGTGGGGTGACGACCACACAGGCACTTCTTTGGCTAAAGTTTACGTTTGTCACAGACTACTGAGCTCCTTAGTTCCTGTTCAACCGAAACACATCTGTCGCCAAGTAAACGACTTCCGTGATTCAGCAGTGCAGCACTTCCCTCTTTGCCTATAACCATGATATCCGGCACCGAATCGGTCGGACGATCCCGTAAACAATCCCCTTAATAAGGTACTTGCGATTTACAGCAGTAAAAAACCCATTTTATTTCACCGTTTCCTCTTGTCGCAAGGGAGGAGTTGAGAAAACACACGAAATGCTACTACTCATCGGTGATTTCGGTGATTAAGAAGTGGCCACTAAAGGTGGAACGGAAGTGGCCTTAAATAGTTGCCCTTCGAGAGGAATTCGGTTTACAACCGGGCGGAGTCCTTTGTTCTGATAACCGACTTGTCATACCACCTCCGTTGTGAAAGATGGTTCTGAATGAATTGCACAAAGGCCATTTTGGCGTGTAGAAAATGAAGTCACTAGTTCGATAGATGCGTTGGTGGCCGGAGCTGGATGCGGACACCTGTACTACGACAAATAACTGCTTCGCATATTTGTACAAAGTCAAAGGCCAAACAACTGAAACCCTTGGCCCGAAAACTACATTCCTCGTCAGAGAGTCGACTTCTGCGGCCCATTCTTGAACCGATATCATACCTTAGCGTTAACAGGTTCCGTTCTATTCCGTCCCACTAGCTATAATGAGAAGATTCTTCTGGCTTAGTACCATCTCATCCTATTGGCGTCGAACACGATAACTGAGAAGGGTGTTGGTCCTAGTTTTACAGACGTATTGGTCGGTCTGATGTAGGCGGCCTAGTCTTCTAATCGCCCAATGTTGAAGCTAAAGGCCGCTTGATAGAATGTATCTCTGATTCAGTCTTTCCATACTATTTATCAGCTGTCCTGCCGCTAGTGGTCCGATTGTCTCAGACCTTGACCTCAATACTGAATAGAGGCTCTGCCTGCGTATCCCATGACTCACTGTGATGGCGTTGGTCTATTGACGGAACTACGCCATCTGTCGACAAGGTACCTGCCAACGCCCTCACAGACTCACAGTTCAAATGGCTCGAGGTGTTCCTGACAAGTACACCGACCATTTTGTTCGGTGTTACGGAAATGATTCAGTCGAAAAGGAATTTCGCAAGTATTGATCACCAAGAACAGGTCACAACTGTGTGCAATGGAGCTAAAAAGTTAACTCACCGAAATCGGATGTCGACATCTGCGTACGGAGCGATATCAAGCATGTTTAGGTAGTGCAGCAGAAAGCCTGACACATTCCGTGAAAAAGGCACTAGCATCGGCTAACCCGAGAACACTGCCTGCTACAACACCGAAACGCCACTCATGCGACAACCAAGGAGAGTCCGACAGTGCTATTCAAGTCAAGAAGATTGCGGTCGTAGCTGACACGTCTTGATTCCAGCGAAGTCACATACTTTGATGGCAACGAACTTCGACCAACTAGCGGAATCATCGCCAAACAACTGGGTCAGCCTATGGTTGTGATAACAGATCTGTATAATGCATCCGTACATCGACGCCATCTCAGCTAAATTAATGTCAAAGTGACGACCGATGGTGCGAGTGACCATTGTGTTGAAGTCAACGACTCACCCGTTTCGCCGGCGGAGAAGAATGCCGAAGGTTCCGAACTCCATCCACCACTTTCATTTTGGAGGTCCGTATGGTAGATGAGCCAGTCTGACGAGGAGCTTTTAAGAGAGAAAGGTTGTGGTAATGCAGCAGACATTTTACGGGACACAGCCCGGTACAGCTTCGTGACTGCAAACGCTGAGGAGCCAGCCAATCGGAATCACTACGAACAAGTACAAAAAAGCTCGCTGTGATTGGTCGACATGTGGTTTGCCAATTATTTCCTTTGAAAACATAGCTTTCCCGACACAAATTTGAACATAGAAGTCAATAGCATTAAATTGCACGATGTATTCCGAACCATTTCGCTGCATCTTCACTAGTGCATACTGCAGTCAAGGTGATCATTTATAAATGGTAAATTGAACGTTCTCATGTGATATATTTATACGAATCAATTCTGCAGGAAAATTAACGTAAAGTTCCGCAGCCATAGCCTCACTGTTGTTCCGGTTTACATAGTTCTGGGTTGAGGTGATTTCGACGGGTTCTTTCAATCCGAGTATTGCGAACAATACATCTTTTCACCTTTCGTTAGCGCAGTAGCAAACCAGAACAAAATGACGGTGTACGTTTCGGTCGGCTGATTTTCCCTGCCCCACGAACATGTCTATAAACAATGAGCTAATAACAGTTGATTGTCATCCTCGCTGAGTCTCACTAATTTTCCTTTCCTGTCTAAAATGCGTACCCCGTAGGTGTGCCCACCCCTGTTTGTCCGAATTTCCATTTTTGTCACCGAAAACGATAGCTATATTTAGGATTTCATCTTAGCTAGTATCGACTGGGACAAGTATACAGGACTGCTTTCCCGAAAAGACGATCAGCGACGCCGGGATTTGCTAATTACAGCTTCAAAGGTGCTTTATTTAACCGTAGAGTGACTGCACTAGGCTATCGACTTAATACGGCGGAACACACACACACACACAAGCGCTCCCTCAGTCATTCAACTTTCAGCCAAGGACAGTACTCTACGGACCTTGCGACCGTTAGGCCCCTGGGTGAAAAGTGAACTGAATTTCGATACTGACAGCAGTTCCACACGTTGTTTATGGTTTTTCACGTTGATCCACGATCCTGTGCTTCTTACACTTGGAGCTGCTGAAAGCGGTTTTCTGACGAAATAGTACTCACTGAATAACCTCATTTCATTATACACAATACAACACGAATAGAGGACAAAATCGGTTTCGGTAACATCATCCTCGTGGCTAATACAGTTACATTTATAGGTTAGAAATGCATAAATCATGAACAACGCCTGTGTGCTAAAGTGTGATTGGATGGTCATCAAAGTTGGTGTTGCGTAGTTAGGAAAGATAGGAGGGGAAACGTTGTTGTTCCTTGGTTGGGAAAAGGACTAGTAAAACAATGAACATGGGTTTCGGGGATTATCCATTTCTGAGTTCAACCAAAGGATCAGCGTTTGGGTCACACTGAGTTCCGGGGTCGGTCTCGGATCGTGGCAAGGACGGTTTGAGTGCTTTAACGAAATGTTTTTGAGAACAAAGCGAAGGAATGAGTAATCCGATGGCTGCAGCCTCTGCCGTTTCTAGCGATTGTTTTCGAGCGACTTTCGACGAGTTCGTAGGGACTCTGTAGTATATTTTGAAAGACTCGTCTTTTACGTAATGTCCAGTATCTTCAAGGTGTGCCACAATTGCACTGGTAATGGATTTTCTGGTTCCCGTCGTCAGCCAAGCTGGTTCGTGTTCTTTGATTCTTTGTGATAGCTGCCATGTCGTTCTACCTATATAGCTTGTCGAACATGAGCATGGAGGAGATGAAGCCAGGTAACTTGTTTTTAGGTTCGCCGAGATCACTGATCGACTGGTTAAGTGGGCACGTAGTGTGACTGCCTTTTTAAACGTCTTATTAGTAAATCGCGTTTGTCATCTCTTTTGAAAGAGAGTTGAGTGTATAACCCTTTCTTCTTAGTGGTCACTAACTGCTGTTTTGTTGCCCTTTCTACGATGTTCTTCTGATTGAAACGTTCGGGGTATTCGTTATTTAGAATCGTTTGCTTTTAAATGTCTAATTCTCTACTCACCGTCTCATCCGAGCAAATCATTCGCACACGGACTGTGAGGGAGCGAGGTGTGTTTCATTCACACCTAAGTGGTACAAAGCTGGTGAAAAGGGTGAAATAATCAACAAAATTTTACCTATTCCTTTCGGTTCTCAGTGATAGACATACTCGAGTCCATTTTGCGCAGCTTATATAATGTCGATGCAGGAGCACGTGAAGGACACATTTGCTAGTGTTTGCTAATTACTGTGGCATGGACGTAAGCATCCGTGTGGTATCTTGAAAAAACCAGTAACACCATTGATATCACCACGCGTTGCTGTTCGCTGATTCAGAACACGGAAGCCTGATATTCTCTGATGTTGCCCTGTCCGCGCAATTAGATGAATTCAAAGCAAAATTCTCATCCGCACTCAACCAGTTCCGGCTGGTCACACGCACATCATCATTGCCGTCATCCAAAACCAAGGTGGAGAACGTTGAACGTGATGACATCTGAAAATGACAAAGTATTCTGATTCAATATTCAGCATCAATGCTCAACTAACCATTGAAAACCATGGAAGAACTGTAATTTTGTTTCATACTTGCCAGGAATCACCAGCAGTGCACAACCACTGAGCCCACGCTGGGTGAACAACAGTGAGCCGAATACCTACCCACCAGGCTATTCGAGATAGCTTTCAACGGTTTGTTGAACATGTACACCACATTATATGCCACCATTCCTCCACTGACTCTGAACGATAATAGCCAGAGTTGAGCATTGCAAATGCATGATGAATCATTTGCGTAAAATATAGTGTTCTGCTACTCAACTGGACTTTGTGACTAACCTCCACAGGTTCCTTATAACGGAATGCCTTCGTTGTACTTAGGAACATACACAGAAATCATCCGTCACAGAATTCAAGCCCTGTGCGAGCAACGGCCTGTTGCCGTTCAAATCCAATGACGCAAGGGTGCTAAATCATGTAGTGTAGATGTTCACCAAACCGCGGAGAGCCTGCCTGGACGGCTTGGTGGTTAGGTGTTTGACTCTCTACAGTTCATCCTGCGTTCGAGTCCCAGTGAAGACTTGGTGTATGTGCACTACTGATGATTCCCAACTAAGATGACACAGCTGTACGGTGCTTCCATTGTTTTCAATAGTGAGTTGAACGTTTATACTACGTGATGAGTCATACCATTACTAATCAGCTGCAAAATGTTAATAATTTGAATTCTGGGAAAGAATTTGTAAATAAGAAGTGTGGTCTGCGTCAACCATCTCTTCCGTCACATAAAGGAATTACAAAGTTAACGAACGCCTTAGGCAGAGCTACAAATTTGCAGTCGATGTCATTGACAGTACACGTCGATGTTATCAGTCAATACACTGGCGGAAATGATGTAGTGGCGTGTTGATTGGAAAAGAGATTCCAAGCTGTTCTCAAGAACTGTATACGTCTTAAATGCGATCGCCAAATCACTTCGTTTGTTTTTTTTGTTGATCCGTTTGATCTTTCCTGGTAAACTACGAGTCATAACAACTTTGTCCGGATTAGAACTGGACAGAGTATAATTTCCGTCCCGCAAAATTGTTGTACCGGATTTCTTCTCCAGCGCCGAAGTTTCGTACCCTTCCATAGACAATGCGGAAAATCTGGCCTCGAAAAATCTGCAATGCAACTGGGAGAACGCTGTGATTGTGCCATGCAAGGTTTGTTTAACCTGGCATAGAAAGAAACATGAAAGGAAGCGTACTGCATGCCTCCATTCATGCAATAACCCCCCAGAACCGAACAAGAAACACTTTCATCGGTATTTTACCTCCGAAAGGGAAAACTTTCCGACACATATATGTGTGAGAATTTGGTTTTCTGAACCAAATTGATTATGCACTTTGTCTAGATATATGATATCACTTTTCTATCTCGTGACCACACCTGATCTATTGGAAACTTACGTGTCTCTCCGCTCAAATCTCAGGGTCTAGTTGCCGGCTATCCCTAATAATGCACTAGGCTATGGGATCTGCCCCTCCTACTGCACTCATGCACAATCATGCGACAGAATAAGTTAGAATCACTAGTTTACCGGGTTCGGTGAGTTCTGATCATGTGGACCGGGTCTTACCTGGGTCAGTCAGCAAAAATATTAAAAACTATAGCTGTTTGTGTGTGGGAGGGTTTCCGCTTCATCCTGAGACGTCGATATTGTTGGCCTATCAATGTGACCCAGACAGTGAGAAGGTGAACAATAATCCTGATGCTAGTAAGCCGTGTTATTGTATTAAATTCTGATGAACTTTGCTATGAAGCATCGCGACATAACGCATTCTGCTCGCAAATCGATAGAATATAAAATATATCATGGTGTTAACTCAATCCTTTACACCGGTAATGCCAACGAGGCTGTCGGGTGAAGGGTGAATAGTGCGAAAATGGGAGTGAGACTCGCTAATATTGAAAAAGTCTTGGGACAGCTACCACAGCTGGCGAAGTTTGATGGTTAGAGAACCGCTTACCTGTCCTGTTAGGGCAGAGGAATGAAAACAGCATTATGCTCGGATAAACGTGACTATACCATTTTAACTTGAAGGCTATCCGTTATAACTTCAAGTGAAGCCTTCGGTCGCACAGCAAGTACTGCATGCTCCGATCGCAAACCAAGAGAAAATGCATGTCGAACAAAGATACTATACGAAATAACTGTGACTTACCTGAGTTTATACTCTTTTTCGGTCATTAAGTTTATTATTTGTTTCTATCCCATATCTACTCTGTTTTACTGATCTGTATGGTTCGTTGCAGACTGAGTAATGCCGAGGAATGATAACCAAAAAAACGAATTTGCATATTAGGTAAAACTGAATGTAACAGAACAATCTGTCGCTTGGAACAATTTTTGCCGGACATATCAGATAAACTCAGTGAATAATTAAAGGTTTCTTCCCCTGCTCAGATTGATGAGTCCACCATGAAGCTCTTAGACGCGAACTATCAGGTTCCGTCCGAAGATATGGATTTTTATCGGGAACTGCTCAAAACGTGCTCAAACGAACATGTGGATCTGAAGATTGTGAGTTATATGAATTCCATCCCGAAAAAAATTATTTAAGCTAATAATGAACAACAAGGTTGATACAGTCTGTATGATGTAATACCATTCATTCCTTCTCCCAGAGTATCAGTTTGATTCCCAAAACTTCTGATGAACGAATACCAACTAATGGAATTTCTAATGGAACACTGGGCTTTAAAAAAGCTACGTTCGGGCGGAGAATATGAACTTCGACGAGTTCTGCTTCTCTCGCCACCTAAAGCCTTTTGTTTTGAATGTTCGTTTTGCATTTTCTCAGTTCGACTGGTACTGCTTACGCCTTAACACTGTCACACAATAGGGGCAAAGCCATTTAACTGAAAAGTGGCCGAGGTTTGTTGTTTCACTTACCCCCGCCCTTACAAACCGTGTCACTTATCCGTGTTCATTTGTTGCACGTGTGAAGATGCACCAGCTATTTATTTCTGTCTTGATTGTATCCCGAATTAGTTGTAGCATACGTAACGGCTGTACTCGGTTTATTTGTAATAGGAAGACAACACACCGGACTGTATGCCGATGGAAAAGCACATAGGCGAAAACTCCAGCAAGTACGTGATTCAGAGTCACGTGCAAGTAAAATCGCAAGCCAAGCATTCAGTTGGGTCGGGTCACTCAAGGGCATTCAACACGTCTCAATATGTAATTGGCCAACGCAGTCCAGGATGGAGTAGGACTTGCATCAACACCGTATGTGTGAGTACAATTGCAGACAGGTGTCTATGCGTGTTAATAATATGGGCCAATTGTCCGCAGAGCGTGCTTGTGTGTGTGAGACTGCTTGTGTCTGCCCACGTGGCTGCTTAGGCCGAATGTGACATCACCTCTTACTGCCTGATAAGGGACATCCATGGAGTGCAAAGAGGTGATATATAGTTATAATGGTTATTGTAATTCTGGCGGGCATGTTAGTATTAATAGTTGTTGTTGTTTGTTGTGGTGGTGGTGGTAGCAGTTTTAGGAGTAGGAGTGCCACTTATAACATGCCTAGAGTATAATACAATGCACGAGTAACTATTTAGGGCCGATTTTCTGAAGCGTACACACACAGGAACCGTGCGAGTGAGAAAGGGAACAAATTGGGTTGGTAATTCAACGGTAAATTAGAAAAACAAGTTATAAACGAAAAGTCGGTAAAAAACTAAAATGCAGTATCAAATTGTTTCTATATCTATTCTCCTTGATGATGCCACGGCAGTAAGCGCGTAAAGTGGGTCAATTTAATGTGAGAATGACTTTAATCACGTATTCCAATAAGCTGTGGTTAGTTGTAATAATGTGCTCGGCTGTGAATAAGCCATAGGTTTTATAACAGCAGGCAGGGTAAAGGTTCCCAGCAGGGTAACCGTTGACTTCATCAAAGTGTTATTTACTCTGCCCTTGCTTAGTGGAAGTCGATTGAGTATTGGCAGTCAATGAGACAAGATAAGTGTTAAGCAGGTATCTGCCTGCGGACTTTGATGTCCACGACTTGTTGAGTTTTTCAGTGTTCAGAAGACAGACACGGCTAAAGGGGAATCCTTTCGTATACTAACATCACGTGACAAGCCATCTGTACTCACCTGGAAACGGGGTCAAGACTGAGACAACAGTCAGCCTTAGCCGGCCAACAGTATCAGACACTCACCAACTAAAGCCCAACGCTATAAGTGATATAGTACTGTATATGGATGACAGGGAAAACACGATCTGTTTCGCGGTTATTACCCCTCATCAGGTAAATGTACATACATGTACACTGTATGGTGCGTTTTCGTACCGCAATCTCATTTGAATTATTAGGAGTGTGAACACAAGGTTATCCCTGATTAACCGACAAAATGACACTATACAAATCACCTTGTGATTCTGAAAATGGACTCTTCGTCCATACACTATCCTAGTGAAAAAAATGAAATTTTGAGCACGAAAGCCCAAAGTACCGAAATAAAAACCAGTGAATGCAAATAAAATAGCAATTGTCGGTGGGAGAAATGCGGAGTGCAGTTTGAAAAGGGACTTCGGTTCACAGTCAACCCAGGAAAAGATTTCAACAAATCAATCGTACGCCGACAGTGAGCTAGATTAACAGTGCGTTGACCTATGAGGTTGACTTAATCCAGCAGATATTTCTCATTACTTCATAAATTATTATGATTAGGATCAACGACCTGATTTTACTACGATCGGAGGGGCAGATCAGAACAAATCATTTTTAAAACCCATGCTTTTCATCAAAATGAAGGAACTTCCAATTCTTCTTGGTCGGTAAAATTGTTCGAAAGATGACAAGGCTATGGTTGGTAAGATTTGTTTTATCTAAATTAGTACCCCGTCTGTAGATCTCCGTAATTCTACGAAGATCGCGATTCTCAATTACACAAAATCCCGAGTGACTGATCGAAGCTCAGAAGCAGCAGAGCCGGAACGGTCAGGAACGTTTATTGAGCAGTAGACAGAATGAATGTCAGAACTGGTTCTGTGTGTGTAACAGATTGGTAAACCGGAAAAGCAACATGTAGTGTTTTTAGATGTGAGAAATCTTTGGAGATTTGTTAAAGCCCATGTAAACTCCATCCCACGCCGGACTACTTTCTGTGTTTGTTAGCACCCAAACTATCGAAAAGTCCACCTAGTCTATGAGCATCTGGCTTAATTATCTAGACCCTATTTTTTGCATACTGGCACAATTATCATCAGAAAGTTTTTTTCACGACTTGAAAAACACTGTACAACTAACAACTGAGAACGCGGGGTTATCAGACAGTGGCTCCAGTGGATCAGCAGACATCAGACTGAGTGGAAGAACATCGGATGAAATAAACAAACAACTTATACCAGAATCCAAATAAGTATTGCCCGAGTTACTCCGGCAGAGTAAAGACAGCAGAAATCTGCAGTCAATCAGTTTGGGAACGTAAAAAGAAAACGTTTAGTAGACGCCAGAAAATGCGTCCTAACCAGCCGGAGACAGGCCGTTCAGACAGTCAGTCAGCGCAAGGAAGTGTGGAATGATGAACGCACCTGTCTACAAGCAACTGCACACACTCACGGATAGCTGACACAGCCAAGCTAAAAGGAATCAATCGTACCAAAGGTTAGACGGACCTACGGAAAATCACTAATCATACTCAAAGCTAGACAGGTGTATGTGAGCAACGCAAATGGGTCGGCGAGCAAATGTGAACGGCGCAGTTCGCAGAAAAGAGCCCTGGCACACAGAGCCGGTCGGGTGCAATCATCAGCGGATCAATGAGGCAAACGAGTAGGAGCAGTACAATTAAAGCAGCCGTGTAGGATCAACGACGCGTGCGTGCGTGTGCATGCGTGTAAGCCTTCGGCGGTCGGTCTTAAGGAAGCGATCCAATCTTGATTCCCACTAAGGGGAATTCACAGCCAGTCTAGCCTAACCCATATTCCACCTATGTCACTTCATTCCGCGTTTTCAGGGTAATAATCGAATGCATTGCCCAAGCTCTTTGGAGATGCTCCCTTTGCTCAAATTTGCTAAGGCCCACAGCGAACTGTTACTCCAAAAGCCTCTGATCAAACACAAAGCTCCCTTGGTGAACAAATGGCTTCCTGTGGACAAACAGAGAAATCAGTGAGTTCAAATTCGGTGTGCAGATGGGTAATCCAGTTACATTGAAGCTAAAGTAAGATATTAGGTTGATTTCACGTGCAACACGGTTCCATTCACTTTCAGTAGCCATTATTCATGCAAATGATGAAGCGAGTCTTGTTGCCACATTATAGTAGAATCCCTGATCGGGAGCCAATGGACAAACAGTGTGCAAGTACTTTAAAGCGAACTAAAAATGAGAAAGTGTATGAACTCGAGTGTCATTCTGGAAGCAGTATGATGCCATTGAGGATCTCGTTGGTCGTACATGATATTCCTGATATGCTCCACACTTGTTTCTTCCCAGTTAGAGACTGGCTGCGTTTAGTCGTCGTCGTCCAAAAAGTACACTCTTTAGCAAAACACTAGACGTTCATCTGAATATATGAGATAAACGTGTCCTATTTATCTAGTTCGATAAGCTTTATCGTGCAAGAGTATGATTTCGTGCTAGAGATCGGTGGCCTTGGAAGATAAGTACTTATTTCCATTCACGAAATCATTCAAAGTAAACATTTACAAACCCAGATTACAAATCTCCCATTCATGTGTTAGACAGTGATTTTATCATGGGGAAATATCTTTACCTAACGATATCGAGTGTGTTTACGATTGAAAAAAATACTATATATTAAATCCTTTTAGTTGTTAACAACACACCAATGTTATTTACAATTCTGATTCAAATCACTTGAACGAAGGCATGCTATGTGCAGATTGTTCTGAGATACCCAACCTGTGAGGCTTGGACGAACGAGCTGCATTGGTATTTTTGTTGTTAGTTTTGGTCCAAGTGTTTGTGCTGAGAAGGAAGCATTAACTCTTTGCAGGCAGATGATTTGAATGTTTATCATTATTACTTCCATCGTATGGATGGGCCACATCGACAAACTGTACCGATTGCTCTTCCAGGTCTTATTTCCAGCCATGACGTGAATCATCGTGCATTTTCAACGCCATACTCATCAGTTTAAAGTTCTGAAAGCACAAAATGTCAGCATGGGATTTGTAATCCGTTCGAGTCAGAATCCCAAGGCCAACCTGTTAGTTCGGAAACAGCAACCCGACCAAACCACAACACTACTAATACAAGTTAATTAAGCGGGATCTAAAAGAAGTGGCCTTAAACGGCCGAAATAAATGTTACATGAGAACAGACGTATTTTGATGCCTGATAGGCTAACATGATAAGCCCGGATAGTTAAGAACAAGACCATCTGATAACCGTTGTTTGCATGTGACGAGTCCATCTGTTACTTCCAGTCAACGGAGGCGCAGGTAATTCATTGGACACTAAGATAAAAACCGGTGCTCAAACACATCTAGTACAAGTTAAGTAACCAGGGCAAACAATCAATCTTCCTACAAGTTGACTATTTCTTCATTTGATAAGAATATTGATCTTGACTGGTCTTTAAAGTTTTGAAATATTCACTGTTAAGAACGGATGTAAATGCACCGCAATATGGCTAATTGAATAGACATGCTGTTTTTAACGCCAGTGGTTGTACTCCGTCACCGTGGATAAGTCCGTATTGAAGTGGGCTGTTTCAGTATGAGAATCGTTGGAAGGAGCCGTCACATCACATCCATACCGCAATCATTTAGATCCGTATGGTCATGTCGAAGAAGATAGCTGATTGATCAGTATAGTTAGAATTGAAGCATCATTAACATCAGCACATTACGTGTGTGTACGGGAATATCAGCGACTATTTGAAAGTGGAACCAATCACTCAGTCGCAATATGGATGCCACGCATGTGTACAGTCGACTGAGTGTTAGTCACCACAGAAGCACACGGTCAATGGATTTTTAGAAATAAAAACTCAGAAAAGATTATTTCGAGTAGCTCACCTCTGTTACCCTACCGTCATTCTCACTTCGTTATTAACGTGTTAACAGAGACCATTCCAACCCCAAAGAGAAGTGAATCATTTCTGCGATGATAGCAGTTGCTTTGTATTTTTCAGACTCACTGGTGTTTTTTAACCGTTGATGATGGTGACAAAATAGGTATGTCCCGCTCACCAGGTTCGACAACCGAGTTCAAAGCCATACGAAAATACACATCGTGATTTGATCATGATAGTTCTTCTTAGTCCGTTGCTTTGCGTGAATGTAACCCAGGTACTGTATGGTTTTTCTGCCATGTTGAATTTCTCAGAATTCGCAAAGGATTACTGTTATCGCTGAAGGTAGTCGGGGATTTTCACTTAAAAGATTGGTACCCCACTTCATTTGATATGCCCCTGAAATGACATATATTCAACACTGTCTAGTCAGTGCACAGGTGCAACGACCAAACTAGTTGAGAGAAACACAAATCGAAATGTATTTATCTATTAGTCTGTGAGAACTCAGTCGTCTAAATAAGCAGATTGCGGGTCAGTTTTGTCATCCAACAGCTGAGCACATCCAGGTTTGGTTGCAAAAATGGATAGAAGATAATTTAGCAACATTGACATCGTCCCTTGGATGTTAAAACAGATCATTTCCGGATAGAAACATTATGTCGGTCTCAGAAATGCATTTAACATCATTTACGCCAATATCAAAACCAGGATAATCAACTATATCGAAGCGCGAACCATTCAGAGTCTCAACCTTGGTTCATACAACCAAAGCGAATGACCTATCAGCGAAACACTGCCTCGATGACGAGCAGAGCCTCACTCTCAGGATGCTTTCCTTCATAATGCGGTGTGTTTTGTCTTGCCGCAGTTTCTCTCTTCAAATTCAATCTCCTGATTGTATGAACATTTGCCAGAACTGCACCATCTGCTCGTAAGAACGCAACAAAATGAACCCCGACGCAGTTCATAAACCAATGACTTACTAATTCAAACTTGTGACAGAAGGCAGTTGTTTCCAATGTACTCGCTGTTGTAAAAACGTTTCCAATAACGACTGTGATGGAAATCGAGAAACAAGGATAGTTCAGTTTCAAAGAATGATACCTTCCGAAATGATTCATATTCTAGTCCGTGAAAGGGTTTTTTCACAACCACTCCTTTTCCTTTGCCTGCATCACGGACTCCTTTCACCGCCCCCCCTCCCTGCACACAGGGGTTTCTCTCTTCACGATGAGGAGGCATTCGTGAAAGTTTTGGATGATCTGGTTATGGTAAGTAGACTGAGAACACTTTTACCCCCCATTCCTGTTATTCGGAAATCTACTAAACAGACAAATCCCATTTCAAAATCAGTTACTAATTAAAAAGTCGTCGCAAAGGGTAAGGTCAGCCGTACACGTTCGGCAATTGAAGTTATGTTCGCTAGTCAACACTGCGGAACGGACAGCGTAAATTCCTCGTTGAGGTGAAAACCATCAAATAACCATTGTCTGAGGTAGGAAGTTTGAAATAGAATTATGCTATGGCTGACATGAAACATTTTCAACGATCTAATAGGACACTCCGGGATCTGCCTGTCACTTTGGTGGCTTTGTGAATGTTCACTGCTAATAGTCACTTACAAGCCAGAAGAACCACTATACCATCTCTCTTATAATGTCGGACTTATGTCAGACGTATTCCTAAGTGACACCCAAATAACTGAGTGAGATGTCTTTATGACTGGCCTGAAGCCCGGCGCATCAATCAGTCTCAACCATTTGGTGTCGCTTTCCACACCGTGCGATCGTCGACTGCGTGCTGCACCGTAATCTACGGACATAATGACGCAAGTGAACTCGACCATTTCCTGGCCAAAGCTAACAGCTATCACGGGCGGTCGATAATAATATCGGTAAACGGGAAAAACCCTTTCGGTTGACTAGATGGGCAAAACAGGTGAAATCACATTGCGGTCGCAAACTTACTCCGAGATCACTAATTAGAACTGAGAGCTGATCACAATAAAGCAAATGTGTCCGAATTTCAATAAGTGTTACAGTAACTGTGCAGAGATAAAATATTAACGGGCTATGCGAATGTAAGGCTTAAATTCGGCTGTCTTTCAGTAACAGCTAGAGAGCGCCTCGGATATTTTGTCTTGCAAAGTCACGTCCAGAAGGCCTCAGCTACTGGCCTCATAACGGCGGCTTTTTGTAGCCTATTTAGTTCGATAGATAACCATGGACTTGGGAACTGATTCAGGTGTGCACTAAATGTCACTCTATATTTTACTGATTTCATGCAACAAAACCCTCTCCGACCAATCGCTTTCAACTGGTTATTGGTTATGATATAGTTTTAAGTAGTGCCGATGGCCCAACTTATTTTCTGTTTTCCTTAGAGATGATTCTGCAGTTTCCAGGGTATCATTCTATCCCCATTATTATTTTCCTTTTTAAGGTTGTTTTCACTAACCGCTCTGAAAGCGATATCTTCCAGGAGAATCATCTGTCCACTGTTTTGGAGTTATTGCATCCCGTATCAATAAACACACTAG